TTCTCCTCCTCAGGGATTCCATTCATCCAGTGCTTACTGGAGGGACAGACAGTGGAGGGGGCGAGCACAGCTGGCTCTGTCTCTAGAGAGGAAGAGCCAGCTGTCAATCAGGTAGCAGGGTTGATCACAACAATATTGTCGGGATCCTTCCCGAATGGAGTGCAGCTCTGTGCTATCAGCATATAGTGGGCCAGTGACGTACGGTACCTCTGGTTCCGAGTGAGGCATTTCTCAGCCTCGCCCCCAGCACGTCCAGCCCCGCCCCCACCAGTTGAAGCCCCACCCCAGTCCCAAGCTAGTGTGAAGGAGGAAGGGAGGAGACATGGAGGAGCCTCCCTGTTCCTCACTTGCTCATCACTGCTGAGGCATCGAGATCGATGGCCTCTGGGGTTTTTTTTTTCTCTTTTTGATTGGACAGCTTGGACCAATGGCGTTTTGCCTCACCTGCCTCCCCTGACCGCACATTTGTGGGCTATAGTTTTGAGTCACAGGAGGACCTAAGTAAACATCCTCTTGTGACCCTAAAGAGAGCTACAGCCAAAAAAAGGTTTGGCCATAGTTCTCTTTTAAAGGGAGAAGATCATATTACCCCATGAGATCCTTTATAATCAGCTGTTGCTCTCCCTTGATTGCTGCACCATGACCTCTGGTGGCAAAATTCCCAATCTATTACACTGCCCTCATAAGCATTTTCAGCTAGTACAGTCCAGGGAGGAATGAAAATAGTGTATCCAATATTACCAGATGAATAGGAATTCACTGGGTTTCTCATTCAAAATGCTGGTTGATTTTTGCTTAATTTTTGTTTGGTCATATTACCCATGCGCTTCACTTTTGTAAATGGTATTTGTTTTTTGTTTTTCAGAACCTTGCTATAGCTAGTTTAGTTGCAATCAACACTTAATTCATACATTTTTGTTGGGTTTTGGTTAAAAAATCAGCACTGTTGTATTTCTGTGTAGAATGATCTCAGCAATATGAAAATTTTTGTCCCAAAATTTGCTACCATGAGATATTTTCACCACCTGTATAGCATGTCACCTCTGGCTGCAAATTCGCAAAAAGCATTTGTGTGGATTGCATTAGATCTCCAGGAAAAGAACATAAAACACCACATCATGACCTCCTACATGGGGGTTGATTTACTAACCTTATAAACATGCCACGAACAAGTATACACCTCTGTAGTGTGTTCCCTCCCAGCATGATCTATTGGTGGAATCTAGACACCTTTGTAGTGTGTACACACCCAGCAGGTGTGTTGTGCATGAATTGCAAGGTGATGTTGTGTAAATTAGCTCTATGTTGTGTTGCTTACGTTGATGAATGCAGGAATGTAAATGCATGAGCTAACCATTTTTGTCTAAACTGTGAAGCAGCATTATATATGCATCATGTGCATGATTTTTCCATATATGGCATTAGTGGAAATATGCTTTTAGAGACTTTTTGGTTGATAAATACGTTTTGCTGTGTGAAAATCACACGCACCTGGTGCGTGTGTGTGTTTAGGTTAGTAAATCACCCCCATGGCCTCAGAGTTTATAGCATTTAGTAAGCCTTTGACAATGATTCTCAAATGTTCTTCCCAATCTTCAATCAGTCTTCAATATTTTTTTTTTATAGATCATTCTGCCATTTAGGACATATTCATGTATAACATGTGTTTAGATCATTCTGCCATTTAGGACATATGCATGTCTAATATGTGTTTAAGGTCAGTTGATTTGTGTGTACAATGCAGTGATCCATTTGGGTCCACTGGAAGTGTAGATGCATGTGTGCTCAAACATTAAACTGTATGTAAACCCTAAGAATGATTTTTCTGTTATTTTCTTATTATACCACTAATAATGTGTTGTTATATCTGTTTGACACGTGAAAGAAAAATACACTTTAAGAACTCTGTAGAAGCATTTGTTTCTGTTTGCTTACCTATGCCCAAGTATGTATTGTAGTGGCTTGTTGAAAATCGTAGTCATTGTCTAAACATTAGGTGAATGCTTGGGTTAAGCCTGGGGTATAGAAGGGATGGGGAAGCAGTAGTAACAAGTACTATTAAATTGATTAGTATAATGTCTCTTTAGGTATTCTTGATTTTGTGTTTGCCAGATGTCGGTAAGGGCTGCAGAAGGAGATCACTATTGGAAGGGCTACAAAGTAGTCCAAATTTCAGGGAGGAGGCTCATTTTGATTGAGGTTACTTTTCCAAACCTAAAAAGAGGATTAAGGGATCAGGTTTAAAACACAGAGCTTAGAAAAGGGGATTTACTAGGTGGCACTGCATAATCATTCATAGAAGGAGTGATTCTGACCTCTACATAGTCTATGTGGGATTTTGCACATTTGAATGAGAAATGTATTTGAAATTGGAGCAGTGATGGTTAGGTTAAATTAATGACTAGTAACAGATGGGTGCTGACACACCAATAGATGTGTTTCCAGTAACAGACGTTTATTTGTGCAACATAACACCAATGTTTCAGGACCATGCAGCACTCCATTATCAAGGTGGCAAATATGTGCCAAGAGTACTGTTTTAGTTTAAATAGTTAAATAAACCAATTAGAAAAAACCCTGCTCAGTGAATGCCCCCAATGTAAGCAAAAAACGTATACACATTTACAACTCAGCAGGGAACTTACTACAAAGCAATGTAGACCATAGATGACTTGAAACACCAGAAATGGTAGGTTGAGGAAGTCAGCAGTATGTAAAGCCACTGTGCATCCCAATCCCAATAACAATCAACAATATTAAGGATCTTATGTTGTATGTCTTTGGTCTGCCACACTATGTGCATGAGTTTTATCATTATTGAGTAGTCATAGCATACCACGTTTATATAGGCAATAGTGCATTATAAAAATTGCACCACCTCTGCTCTTCCAAAATAGTTTTTATTTTAACCGAAGGAATTGAAGATATATATTCATCCTTGTTGAGATTGAAAGAAGATCATCTGGACCTAGACACTTGGTTGATGCCATACCTTAGAGACTTTAAATAAGCATCTACTACCCTATAGTGGCCAGGAGGAATAAACTCACTCATGAGTTTAAACATGGGCAGAATGATTCATATTTAGGTAGGTTGTGTGGAGAAGAATTGCTTCAACTTAGGTTGAGATTTATGATTTTTCATACTTGCCACACAGTGTCCAGTTGCCCTGGTTGTGGTGACAGTCCTCATCATACTCATTCACTATTTCCTTTTGTTCCTCCTCATAGCCATATTTTTTTTACTAAAAACACACACACAACCTCGCTTATCAACAGACAGCACACAGCTCATTGGCATTGTGGCTGCAGACTGTGATCCTGGTTGCAGGGGAGGCAGGATTAGGGTAAGCATTTCTTATACATTACACACACTGATCTTCTTTTACATTACTCACTTCTTTCTTCTTTACTCTCCACGTATATCTTTGGCATTGTAGCAGGTCCCCTTCTAGTTCTGGGTTGTAAATGTAAATAGGTTATTTGCACACATTGGGAGCATTCAATGAGGAGGGTGTATTCTACTATTTAAACTAAGTCACTACTATTGGCATCTTAATTTTAAAAAAAGTGTCCGAATGCGCCTCCAAAACCTTGGTGTTATGCTAAAAAAGCTTGGTTATTTGCAATGCATTTATTGGTGTGCTAGCATCTATCTACGATTGCACCTACTGTGCCTCCCTTTGCTATGTACCAAATTCTGTTTCTAGCTTGCAGCCAGTTGCAGTACAGACTTTTGTGACATGCAGGTTGATGTATACTACTCTGCAGCCAATGTGTATAATATTAGAGAAAAGGGGCAGCTTTGGCATGTACTGCTTTCTATAGAGAAGTCAACTGAAGTGGTGCTAAATAATTTGCTTGCGTCACTGGATTCATGTGCAGGTCCATAAGCCAAGAGAGGGATTTGCCTATAAATCCACATTTAATAAAGGCAAATCTTAAGTCCCAAGAGATAAGGTCAAAGGCTCTCTATAGATCCAATTATAGGATGAAGACAGAAATTATCTTTTTATTCATAATATTGATTAGGTTTATTACTATGTTTATTTTATTAGCCAATATTTCTGCCAATAATTGTTTATGAACATTAAGAAGGGTTATAGTTCTATAAATATCGAGAACTAGATTATCTTTACCTGGCTGTATGACCAGTGCATTGTGTGTCATTAGTGAGGGTGGGTAAAGGTCTGAATTGTTTTAGCCCATTCAGTTTAAATCAGGCAAATACATTTCAGGTGCATCAAAACAAAAGGTATGAAAAGCCTTTTAGTCATTGCCTAAATAGAAAATCTTCTTCCCTACCAGCATGCTTCCTTGTATTGTGGAAGCAAGGACCTCTTATCAAAGATCTGACTCACACCCTGCTGAGTCAGAGCTAGAGCTATGCTTTTTAATAGGTGGGGTGTTCACTATTCTACTATTCTTTTTTTTTTCTTGGAGGGGCCTTCAGGTTTCTTCCTGGTCATACTTCTAAGTAAGCAGTCAAACTACAGTTGTTTGATTGGAATGGAGGGAGTCTGTTATTGGAATAAGGCTGTAATAATGTATTGCTGGTGGGCCTCAGGTAACCTTTTTAGCTGGTAACTGGGAACCTGTGAAAAGGCAGGGGAAAAGTCAACCCACTTGCCTCCATTTATTTAGTAGTTCAGATTTCAATTTATCAAAACATATGTCCATATTTTCAGCAGCTTCTGGTAATCCTGAATACATGTGCATATTACAAAGCTGGTCATAAGATCGAAATACTCCTTCACAGAAACAGTGAATATCTTTGTTAAATGCAAGTGCCATTTTTATGGAGTTGTGTTTCTTTCGAGAAGATGCATTTGGGCCCCATTCCACACTATGTCTAGAACACACATGCATACACACACACACACACATATACACACACGCACACTAGCTTGAGGTCATGCTGAATTCTTTCAGGCTTAACCCTAACTATTGTAACAATAATTATGTGCCCATAATATTATGTATACTTTGTTTTACATCTAGATCCTGACCCAGGAAGACTGGAACGTGGTACTTTATAATGGCATGGCCAGTACATCTCCATGGGCAGCTCTCTACTTTGTGGCTCTCATGACATTTGGAAATTATGTTCTCTTCAATCTTCTGGTTGCCATTTTGGTAGAAGGATTCCAAGCAGAGGTAATTTTATATTCTGCATTATTTTTTCCACTGTGTCAATATGAAAGCTCTCATAATGAATAGTGAATCTAGTATATAGTATGTCTGCCATAAGCCTAGATAAACATACTGGGCAATGTTTAAAATCATGAAGTGTGTTTTTTAGAAATGTAACCTGACAGCATTTGAGAACCTGCTGCCCTCATTAATCTAAGCTTTAAATAGATGATGATAAAAACAGACTATATTCAGTGATGGCCTGCAAAGTAAATTTGTTTTATGGTCATTTATTGTGTTTCCTAAAATAAGTCAGTTATGTATATTATGCTAATCAAAAGCAGAACTAATTAGATTGTATTTGTTATATCTTGTATTCCCACACATTATACAGCAAATTTGTCATCCTAACATTTGTGCTGTCTTTCTGAGGCCCATCCCAGAGGACCATGCCCTGATTGGAGATTTTGAAAGTGATTGCAAAGTCATGCTTCTCAAATTATAACTGTGACATCATGCAGAAGCCCCCTATGTTGTTGCAATCAGGACAGTGTTGCTATCTTAATATTGTAACATTTTTGTAGATAGCAAATGTTATTCCAGTAAACTGCTCTACTATGGTATCTAAAATGCAGGAGATGTTATATGGAAGAAAATAAAAACAGTTTAATAGTGCAGATATTCTAAGTTACATATTGCTTTGCTGCTTGAATTATATCCTCCTCTCTGCCGATCTTTCTACTCGACATAATAGAACATTAAACCTATGTATGACTAGATACAATGTACAGTTACCAAAACAGCAGGGCTCCCAGAAATGTGTTTAGTCTGCTAGCAAGAATTGTAAAAATGTTATAACTAAGGTAAGGAGGGAAATAGACCTAAAGTTTTTAAGGTGGAACTCGAGGCTGGAAAAAATTACTCCCCAGCATATGGACAATATAATGCTAATTTTGTCTAAACTATGTTCTAGTGCCTTCACCTGTGGGCAGGCCCTTAACATCATAATGCACAATGCAGGATCAACAGAGCGGTAGCCACTGGTCCTGCTTTTCTCAATTAAATAACATGCTTCAGTGATGCCTCAAACCTGCCTGTGAAGTAGCATATCTGTAGGATGAACTAATGCAAAAGTGACATTTACAAGGAAAAATGCCATTTGCCACTACATTCCATGTTCTTGTTAGCTTTGTTATGTTTGTAAGGCTAATAGTCAATGGATTGTCGACAAAGTCTATCGGGAGCTGGGTACTGCCCTGGGGAACATGTACCAATGAAAAAAAAATACATTTCTAAATAATAAATAAAATACTGTTCAGTGGGGAGCAGCTCCCTTAACCATTTGAGTTCTTTGGATGTGGCTGGTACATCCAGGTTTTCAAGTGGTTAAAACAAGCTCACAGCTGCATCAGCTTGTTTCACAGATGAGCTTGTTTTTATTTTGTACAGCTAGCTCCAGGCTTTAATGCAAAAGTGATCAGGGTGGCTGTAGGACCACCTGGTAATTTTACATGACTCATGAGTGCCAAACCTCTTGACAAGCAACCCCCACACCCCTGCTGGACCCCCATCCGCTCTGTGGTTTGGAGGAGCAGGAGAGCCCACAAGCACAACAAACACAGTCAGGAAGGCGATTAGGAGGACACCCTTTGTCCTCTGCAGTGTATGAAACTGGATGCACACAGCAATGAGCATTAATGGATTTAGAGCTGTCAAAAACCCAAATGAAAAGCTGGGTAAACAGCTGATGAAGCACATGTCTGTGCTCGTTTGGCTGGGTCAAAAGACAGAGGGTACTTTAGGGATCCCTGATTTCTCCATTTCTCACCTACTCAATGCTATCAGATAGGGGGCTTGTTAACCCTTCTGTGATAGCAATACATTTAAGTTAACAAGTGTTAAAAAATTCACAATATAATAAAATAAATAAAAATTCACGAAAAAATATAAAAGCACCATTGTTGCCCCATGCACACACATACGAAAGCAAATGCATGTGTAGGATGCACATGATTATGTATTGTTGTGCAACACATATTGGGTGAAGTCTTTAATTTATGGTTAACTCTAAATCAGTGTTTCTCAACCTTTTTTCATTCATTATTTTTTCAGGCTCCTTTTAAATGTATGCAAAATCTCAATGCAACGCAGTCTACAATTAAAAAAATGTATGTGTAAAAATTTTACAAATGATGACTTACCCCGTAAAATCAATACAAAACTCCTATCCTAGACTCCTATCCTAGACAGGGGTCTGGTATTGATTTTAAGGGGGGACCCCAAGAAAAAAACCATATCAGAGTTTCCCTCTTCACATTAGAGCCCCCCCGGTTCACATCAGAAGCCCCCGTTTAGTGACATTAGGAGCCTCCTTCACAATCAGAGTCCCACGTCAGTGCAAATTTGAAGGAACCACTGCAAAAGCCAGTAGACACCCCATGGTGCCATGGCACCTTGGTTGAGAAAGGATGCTCTAAACTGAGCTGTTAAGGCATGTAAAGTGTCACCTACTGATAAAGTTAGCTGCTGTAATTGTTTGCTGTTTTGAAGGGACACGCAGTTTTGAGACTTGACATATTTGATATCTATTTACACTAGTGACATGCGGTACCTCTTGCTCCGAGTGAGGCATTCCCCAGCCCCGCCCCCCTGCGTCCAAAGACCCGCCCTGCTGGCCGAAGCCCGGGCCCCTGTCGTACAAAGCTCCGCCCCCGCCAGACAAAGACCCGCTCCAACCTGTCCCCAAGCTAGTGTTAAGAAAGAAGGGAGGAGACAGGGAGGAGCCTCCCTGTCCCTCACTTGCTCCTCACTGCTGAGGCGCTCTGTCTATGACAGGTTACAGAGCGGGGAGGATTTCCCTGCTGTGTAACCTGTTAGATACCGATCTGAATGGAGAAAAAGCTGTCAGCTTCAGACATGAAGCTGACAGATTTTTCATCCATAATTCAAGGTGAGGTTCTGCCTCATCTGCTTCCGCTGACCGCACATCCCTGATTTACACCACTATTAACACAACCTATTTTTTTTTTTTTTTACAACAAAATTGGGATTACCTTGTGTTTGTATGCATTTTCACTTTAGCGTATTTTTTTTTGCTCAAAATATAGACTAGATAAACATAAAATATTGTGTAACCTATACAACTACCAAATTTTTATTTTTCTGCGCCTCTTCTTTCATAAAATATATAATTGCTTGGTGGTTTTAAGTAATTTTAATTCCAAAAATACAGATTTTAATGTGCACTAAATAAAAAAATGTTTCAGAGGGGTACTGGTTAAAGGTTTCAACTGCAACATAAAAATCCACAATTCCTTTAAATAACATGCAGGAAGACTTAAACTTGCAAGTGAAGTGGCACAAAAGCAAAAGTGACAATTAGAAAGAAAAAAACATACCATTTAAATTGTTGCTAAATTACATTTCCTGGCCGCTTGGTTCTGTTTGTAAACAAAGTACTCAGGGATAACCTTCAACATCCATACCTGACCCTTATCCTAGATGATTGTAAGGGTTAATTGCACGAACAAAAGGCATGCATTTCCCCATAAAATCTATGTCATACCCTTATACCTAACAAGGGTATGCTTTGGCATCCATGTTTGCAGCCAAATTGGGATGACACCTATTTTATATTTATTCACAACATATAAACTGAAACAATGCTTCTTACAGTTTTAAATGCTTTTTACTTTATAAAAGTTTATTTTCCTTTGTTTGTAATGTTAGGAGGGCCTTTAAGGGTTTGTGTTAACCCTGTCTGTACTGTATTGGCTGATTTCATTATAATTTGTAATGTAGACTTTAACACTCCCTGTCCTGACAAAGGGTTAAACGAATACAACCCTGGCTTTTGCATTGTATGTTAAGGAAAAAAATAAATTTCACATAGACCTGTACAAGTGCCCAGAAAAACTTGGATTCAGCCATTTTGCATGCTGAAAAAAATCTAAAATATAAGAAATATTTAAAAAAAAAGATGTTTTGGTTTGTGGTGTGAATGGGAACAAATAACGTAGTGGGGTTTTTGCAATTTGATTGCAAAACTGGAAATACTTTAACCACTTCAAGACCAGGTGTTTAGACCCCCTTCCTGGCCAGGCCATTTTTCAGTATTCAGCGCTGCGATACTTTGACTGACGTTTATTAGACTCCATGCACACAAAAACTAAAACAGCATGGGGTCCCTTCAAAATTCATACCAAACTTGTATGTGGGCCTCCTCTTGAACCATGCAAGGCCACATTCCCTCAACATAGAGAAGCTAGAGGGGGAGAGCAGCAAATCTTCCCTTGTCCTGGCTAGGCAACTTGCCCCCATTTTGATAAGGGACGTGGCCCCCACATCCAGTTACCAAGAGGATGTGGGGGACTGCAGGGAGGAGGGGTCTTTAAGGGGCCCCATATATCCAGGTAACCCCTATGTGAAGGCGTAAGGCAGGGGTTTCAAATCTAAACTTACTGAGGGCCATGCCGAGGGTTGTGAATAAAATCAGGGGCCAGACATCTAGAAGAAAAAAAAAACCCTGCTGCTTGCCGTGGTACAAAGCTAGCGACCACTAATCATTATATGACAGTCCTGGTGTCCTGTGTGTGAGGGCACTACAAGTGTCAGCAGTCCCTGTCCATTATATGACACTCCTGTTTGTGAGGGCGCATTATATGGACAGGGACTACTGACACTCTTAGGGGTCTATTCACAAAGCTGCCGAAGGATCTGGCCGTAGACACACACAGTCAGTCCCAGATAGACACAGCGGAACTTGCCAAGAGCTGCTGAGACCAGAGGTGCAGAGGAATGTGCTGGTGAAGAGAAACCTCAGCTCAGGAGGGAGGTGTGGTCGAGGACAAACTTGAGAGTGAGAAGAAACCTGCTGCCCAGGTGGGAGGTGTTCTCAGAGGGCGGCCGGCTGAACTGCCAAAATCTTGGGGCAGGCTGTTTCTGGCCCGCAGGCCTTGTAATTAACATATGTTGCATAAGGGGTACAGGGTACCCCTGGTTACTTATTTTTTTTAAAGTAGTAA